GCCCCTTCTCACCCTCCCCCCCACACACAGATGGGGAAACTGAGGCTGGAAAGAAAGGTAGTTCCTTCTTTTTTGTCATTTCCAGAGACAATAAATTTCAGGACTGTGGGTTCAAAGGTAGTGGTTTGTGTGAGGGTAGGTGAGTGGGGGGGAGGGGACAGTGAATGGGGGACTCTGGAGGATCCCTAGGACTAGGTTCCCTGTTGCCCTTCCACCTCCCACCAAGGTCAGGACTACGTCAGATAATAACACCAGAGCTAACATTTATTGAGCACTTTCTATGCGCCTGTGTTCTCACGTTCAGGTCTTACAACAACCCAAGGAAAGCGGTCCTAAGTGGAAGGGAGAGGAAACCGAGGTCCTAAGTGGAAGGGAGAGGAAACCGAGGTCCTAAGTGGAAGGGAGAGGAAACCGAGGCAGTTAAGATTACAGGCAAGATCAGAAAGTTAAGGGAAGTGCCAGAGAAGGGGTCCTAAAGCCGGGGGTCGAATTCCAGAGCCTGTCCTTCACCCTTACCCGAAGGGAAGAGAGGAGAGGCGCGGCGCGGCGCGGCGGCTGGGAACCCGCAGGGGCAAGCGCGGCGAAGGCGGGCTTCCAGCTCCGGGCGTCCCGGCCCGATCCTCCAGCTTCCCGCAGCTGCGCTAGCGAACCCGCCCTAAACTGCGCCGCGCCGCGCAGGAAGCGGGCTCTGGGGGTGCGGACGCCCTCCCGGGGCTCCGGCCTTTCTCTGCGGGGTCCCCCACCCGCCTCCTGCGGGCCCCTCCCATTCCGCGCTCCCGGCTCCTGACATCACGCCCCGGGAGGCGGGATCGGGGAAAGAGGGGGACGTGGGGAGGAGGCTCCGCGCCATCGAGAGGGAGGAGGGCGGAGGCAGGGCGCGCAGTCCCAGCTCAGAGCTTCAAAACAGCCCGGCTGCTCCGCCTCGCGCCCCAGCCCGTCGCTCGGTCCCGCAGCCAGCGCCCGGTGAGTTGGGTTTGCGCCCGGGGGGCGAGCGCAGGACGTGGGGCCGTGCATGCAGTGGCCCCGGGGGGAGGGGTGTCCCTGCTGGTGGTGGGGTGGGGGGAGAGGCCCCTCCCAGCCGAAAATCCACCCTTCCTCCGCCAGATTACGAGGGTGCAGACTTCCCGCCGGTTCCTCTCACTCGCTAGCTCGCGGGGGACGGGAATTCCACCTCCCCGCCCCAGGACAGCTTCTTTCTTCGGGAGCGCCGGGCAGGCGGGAAAAGTTTGGGGAGGAGTCCAGGGCTGCCCCCTCCTTGCTTGAGGGTCCACAGCGCCTCGCAGCCCTGCCCCCGCCTCACCGGGCGCGTGGGACTGCTGCGCCCAGGCCCCGCCAGTGGGTCGTGTGGAGTAGCGCACCCTTCTTTGCCCCGGTGGCTGCTCCGTTGCGCCCCCCAACGGCGTGGAGCTACTTTTCTTAGGTCTGGGGTGGTGGAGGAGCCTCAAAGCTCTCCACCTTAGCCTTCATGGGGCCTTCAGGGCTTTGAGGGCCCCACCCATGGGTTCCAGAAAAAGAGGGAGCTAGAGTTAAGGTGTGGACTATACAGGGTGCTTAATACACTCCGGGGAGGTCCTCCTTTGGGGCCTACATAGGGACCTCATAAATGGAGGTTAGTCTGGGGCACTTGGACTGGAGGGAGACCCCACAGAGAGAGCCCTACCTCCAGGCCACAGAACCCACCCCTTACTTTGGAACAAAGCCGACAGCCTAGTTTCAGGTTTGGAGAAAGGGGTACTGCTCCCTCCCAGGTTACAAAGATGTGTATGTGGGATTGGTGGTGGTGGTGGTAGAGGGGTGATCTTTTAACTTATCTGCGTCCAAAATGCAGAGATCAGCCTGAAAAGTGACAGGCAGAGGGAAGGTAATGGCCTTGGAGAGGGCGTTAAGAAACAAGCAGCCCCAATACTGGGTGAATCCACTTACAAGGGGTACCTAGTGTAGGCAAATTCCAAGGCACAGAAAGTAGAGTAGAGGTTACCGGGAGCTGGGGAAAGGGGAGTGGGGATTATGGCTTAGTGGGTGCAGAGTTTTTGTTGGGGAGGGTGAAAACATTTTGGGCATAGATTGTGGTGATGGTTATCCAACGACATGGTGAATGAATTTAATGCCACTGAATTGTACACTTACAGATAGTTAAAATATACTATGTGTATTTCACCATAATTTTTAAAAAGTCTTCAGCCACCTCTGCACTGGATCAGTTAGAAATCCCAGAGGCCGCTCACTGTTGCTGGCCACTTCTCCTTGGAATTTGGCCTTGGGATGAGGAAGTGGAAGGATGAGGAAGGGACAGGAGCCTGGTTTCCCCAGGAGTCCTCAAGGGACAAAGATGGAAACCAAAGCCGGCGGAGCCTTTGCAGTGTGCGAGGGCGCCCACGCTCTGCAGTGCTCCCGGTTCTCCAAGAGCCTCTCGCTCTTAGGTGGGCAGAGCCCGGCCAGAGACGGCAAGTCAGTATCTCAGGTCGCTGGACTAGTGATGCCAAGAGCCAGGCTCTGAACCTCCACCTGCCTCCCCCCGCAAGACCCCCCTCTTCTCCACCTGGAGATGCCCATGTGGGTTGTGGGGAATGGGGGAGACCCTTCTGGAGAAATCAGGGCCCAGATGCCAAGCCCACAGCCTAGGGAGGGGTGTGGGGGTGGCAGGAAGGTGCAGAACCTGTTTTCCCACTGAAGGTTTTTGGATCTGGCATCTCTACCCTCGCCTGGAATT